TATTTCTTGAAACTTCTTATCAGGCAAATCCAAGATGCTAAATATATAGAGAAATTAAAATAATCCGACGTATTAAAATAATTTAAAGTAATTTTTACTTTTTGAACTCAGAATTAGAGTAGTTCCCAATTGGATCTCTCGAATTAACCACAGTTGGATGCTGTTTTAACGAACACCTGAAAGCGAAATTTCTACACAGTGACCCAGATTATTATATAAAATTTTTGGATTCCAGCTGCATGCATTCACTTAATACTAGTATTTAGTAACATTTACTACTTTTTGTATAATTTTGGTACCCATTTGCAAAACCTTTCCATATCTCAATTCCACATAGCAACAGAGACCTAAATATCAATTTTCAGAATTCTAGCTCTATCCCTTCACCCAATACCATATTTAGTAACATTTATTACTTTTCATATAATTTTAGCACTCATTTGCAAGAACTTTCTATATCACAATTCCAGATGCGAACAGAAACCTAATTATCAAATTTCAAAATGTTATCTCTATCCCTACACTCAGTACCAAATTTAGTACGATTTTGTACTTTTCGTACAATTATAGTACACAATTCCGAACAATATCTTACATATGTCCAAGATACACATGAACAGCGACCATAATACAAAATTTTAAACACATACACTATCTGTTCACCCAATACCAATTATAGTACTATTTAGTACTTTTGGGCACAAATTTTGCCATTCCAGCTCAATGATTTTCGTATAATCTTGCAAAACCCTTCCATACCCCAATTCCACATACCAAAAGAGAACTAAATATCAAATTTCTGAATTCAAGCTCTATTCATTCACCCAATACCAACTTTAGTACTATTTAGTACTTTCCGTACATATATAAGACGCATTTCCAAACCACCAGCATATCTTTCTAAACCACCACCATACCATCAGTAATCTTGATATCAAATTTCAAAATTTTATATATATTTCTTCACCCAGTACCAAATATAGTACCATTCAGTACTTTTTGTACAATGGTAGTATATATTTCCGAAACCACCTTCATATGTCCAAGCTACCCATGAATAACAATCCTAAAGCCAAATTTCAGATTTTAAACACTGTATGTTCACCCAATACCAAATAGTACCAAATATAGTACTATTTAGTACTTTTCGTGCACTTGTAGTGTACATTTCCACAAACACCTCTTTATCAATAATCTACCACCAACAGGAACCTGAATACAAAATTTCAGCTTCAGCTTCATTTCCAAATTTAGTACCATTTAGTACAGTTTGCGCACTTAGTACACATTTAGAAAACCACCTTAATATAATACTTTCCAACCATGATTCTCATACAAAATTTCAAGTTTTTAGCTCCATCCTTTTATATAATACAAAATGGTACAAATTTAAAAGTTTAGTACCATTTTAGAACTTTTCGTAACCTTAAAGTTCGAATTTAATGTTATTTAGTACAGTTCGCACACGTAGTACACATTTCCAAAACCACCTTCATATAATTGTCAACCATGATTTTCGTACCAATTTTTTAACTACGTCCTCTGTCTGGTATAATTTTAGAAGTTTAGTAGCATTTTACAACTTTTCGTAACTTTAAAGTTCGAATTTCCAAAAAACTCTTTTGGTACATCTGGACTCCATCAGTGACTCTAATTCCAAATTTCACTCTCATTCAAATTTCTGGATCATTTCAATTGTCCAGTACAAAATATTCAATTTTTAGTACTTTTCGCATCCTTTTGGTACGAATTTCAAAAAATCTTTCTTGTCACACACCTATGCACCAAGACTGACCCCACGTGCAAAATTTCAAGATTCTAGACTCACTTGTTTCCAAATTTTTCTCATTCAAAAACCTGGCTCATTCTATTTGTCCAATACAAAGTGTTAATTTTTTAGTACTTTTCCTATCATATTGGTACGAATTTCCAAAAATCGCTGCCTTTTCACACACCTACGCATCAAGACTGACCCTCATGCAAAATTTAAAGATTCTAGATTCAGCCATTTTGTCTGGGCGTTGGTTCTCGGTCTGTCAGTCAGTTATTTCACTACTCTTTTAGATCTCTCTCTTTCAGTTTAAAATCACTTTATCATTCTTTCCGCCCAACAAAATGTAATTGTTTTAATTGCTAATAGCCTAACTTAAAAGTGTTCATCTTAAACTAATGGAGGTAGCTTAAGAACATTTTGCTATGAACGATGATTATTTTTAAAAGTTATGAAAACTGTGGTCATCTCTGGCGCCCAACTTTTCCCAGCCACCGGCAAACAGGGATGGGGGAAATATTTTCCCCAGTTGTGGTTTTCAAAATATGAAACATGATTTTAATTACCACCATCTTGATAAATCTTAGCAGAGGAAGTTGTTATCCTTAGAAAACCTCGAAGAGAAGAGCATCTGGTTTCCAAATTTATTATTAAAATGGTTTTCTTGGGCTTAAAAGCAAACGGCTTTTTACATAATAACCTTTTAAAGTTAGGCTATTAACACTGTTTATTGAAATTTATGGCCGAATAAAATTTAAAAAGGCCACAATTTTAAGGAAATTTTATGGAGGCACTAAAGCGGTTGTTTTAAAAATGGGCAAATGCCATTCCTCCAATGTTTGCAGATAATCTCATGGAATTGCCTAAAATGTTGCCAATATTTTAATTAATTTTATGTCATATCAATATTTGATTATGGAAACAAATGTTTGCCTTTTTTGTTATTTGTAAATTTATAGATTTTGAACTTCAACATTGTTTCCTATTTTCGATTTGATTTTTTTTTTTAATTTTACCCAAAAAGGTTACTCACTCAATTTAGTGCTTTATCATTTTTTTGGCTAAATGGTCATAAAGTTACTACTGCCTGCCTGGGTTCATATGGACAAAAAAAGACATTTTCCAATGGAGTTATATATGGATAAATGCATGTGTGTATTCCAGTATCTATGCCCGTTTGAAAGTTGTTATCCACACGCAATAATTCATGTCGAACCGTAACGTGATTAAATAATAAACAAACCAAACGAAAAAAAAAACAAATTCAAATAAATTGAAGCAAATAAAAAATTTTCTGCACATTTCAACTTACCACTCCATGTGTAAGTGCGGATCGGTGCAGGTTAGAAGGACGAGGTGATATGGTTTGTAAAACTCTCATCTGAATGAAAAAATTGTAAAATTTGAAATGCTTGCTGTTGTGTGCCCCCACTTCGTACATTGTTTTGTTGCGAAAATAACAAAGTGTTTGCCAGGCTAATAAATCACATCCAGGAAAGGCAACAAATAAAGTAATTTATTTCGGAAAAAAAAATTTCAAATTGTATGGGTAATTGTTTCGGGGGGCATAAAAGAGATAGAGAAACGGAAACAGTTAAATAACTTCAGTGGTAGTTTATTATGTTTGAATGGCCAGAGATATTTTTGACTTGTTGGAATCTAATCAGGACTATTGAAATAACAATAATATATTAGAAATATATAAAAAAAATGTATTTAAGATTCCTAGAGATGAATCGACGCACAAAAAGCTGAACATGGGACCCAATTTTTACACCCTACACCACATAGTGGTAAGGGTATTATGTCTTTGAGCATTTGCTTGTGACATGGAGAAAGAAGCGAGATAGACCCATAGTTACTTTTGAGGATCTTCATATAATCACTTTCTGAGTTGAATTTACTGACCGACTTAAGTCTAAAAACTAGTACTTTAGATTTGGAGAAAATCGGTTCAGACATAAAAATAGCTGATATATATATGTTTCATCCCAATTTTGTTTTAAGTCCCACAAATACACTCTACAACAATGATATTTGGTTCCAGATATCAGCCACAGCTCAGAAATAACTGCCTAAAATTTTGTCAATATCGGTTCAGATATAGGTATAGCTCCCAGATATGGCCAATATCGGTCCAAATGACCTGGCATATCCGACTGAATTCAGTCTAGAAGCAAGTACATCAAAGCAAGTACCATAATTTTTACTTTTTTTTAAATTGTATTGAATGAAGGCAATAACTGTCGGAAATAGCATCAAATTTTAAAATAAGTTTAGATTTGTTCGAATTGGTCACCTTTGGCACGAATTATGGTCTTCAAACGGCCAATGAAACCGTCACACGTTGCCCGAATGTTCTGTGGCATTCGGGCCCATTCCCGGCGAAGCGCTTGCTTGAGGTCATCGACACTTTGGTATTTTTAAGTGTCAATCTTGCTTTCTAAAATAATCCAGACGCAATAGTCCAACGGATTGGTATCCGGAGGTTTTGCTGGAAATGAAGCGAGGAACCTCATTTTGTAATCATTCTTGGGTGGCGCGTGCTGAGTGCGATGTTGCCATCACCATGGCCGGCGCTTGATGGTAACCAACCGAAAGTGCACATTTTCACCTGACCTCTTTGGAAAGTAAACACGATCATTTTATTTGTTTACAAACTACTGGACAACGAATGTTTTCTCATCGGAAAAACCCAAATTCGACAGTTCACCACTTTCGGCCAAGCGAAGCAACTATTTAGCTCTTTTGAGTCTACTTTCTTTCTGTTGTGGTGCAAGTTCTCGAACTTTTTGAAATTTCAATGGCTTTACCCCGAACTCATTTTTCAACATTTGCCGAATGGAATATTGCGATATGTTCAGCTCACGAGCCATTTGTCGGCCACCGCGACACGGGTTTCGATCAAGTCTCTTCTTTATTTTTCGAACCATTTCTGCTGATGTTGCTGTTTTCTTCCGTCCATTCCTTGACGTCGGGATACGCCACCAGTATCACGGTAACGAAAAATTTATTCACATTTAAATGCTGGAGTCCTCTAACGATTGCAACTTTTGGGTTTCCAGCCAAATATAAAAAATTGCGCTTGATTTTCATCACGAATATTTTTTTTCCTGAAAAATGCTCACAAAAATGCTTTATTTTCAATAAAAAACATAAGATCCTATTAAATTATTTCTACCTTCCAAACATCCAATTAATAAACCTTTCTCTTCTTGTCTTCTTTCAGACGTCAAACGGCCGAGGAACGTGAAGCCGAACGACAGGCTGCCAATCGTTTGATGTTATCCCTGCAAGCCGAGGCCATAAGTAAAGGATTTGCTCCGCCACCATCTGCCCCGCTCAGCTCTCAACCCGTCAATGGTGCACCATTGGCAGCACTGCACGGTCTTCAGCCATGGGCCGAACCACAACATGCAGCAGGATGTTAAAAGAAAGCTCCAAATAGGACAAGACAAAGTTGTGATAAATAACAGAACAAAAAGCAAAAAAAAAACAAAAACACCTTGTAAATACAGATGGCGCCCAACGTAAATGCAAATGCCTAGCCCCCCCTTAAATCGCAATAAATACAACTAAAAACCCCCAATTATTTCCAATACCAATTCTTGTAGATTTTTATTCTAGTGTGTAGAACGAACTGTAAAAAAGGACAAACTAATTTTAATTCTACAATTATAGATTTTGCTATAGTAATGCATTATATTAACATTAAGTGAAAAAATAACACACAAACAAATAATCTGTTTATTTAAATGACCCCCTGTGTAAATAGTTAAATTTAAAAGCGTTAAGTTAAAAAAACCAACAATTTCTTTATTATTACAATGTAATGTACGAATAATATAGCGAGAAATTTCCGGAATCAAGCAATAGTGTAATAGACTCAGCTCAATAGCAATGCACCTTAACTCTCATTTTTTGTGTGACGACAATTCGACAAAAGGAACACCACAAATGGAAATAGCTAAGGTAACACAGTGTCCCACAACAATTATCATTATTGTAGAAAATTAATTAACAAAACAAATTAATGTTGATAACAATTAAGTCATTATGCTGGTAACTTAGTATGTACTGTGTATTGTGACAGCTATAACAACACCAAGTGCAACAACAACAACAAAACATGAATAATTCAGATTAAAAACAAAAACACATATTTATAATTTGCTTGTAATTTAAAGAAATAAAAACAACAAGAAAATGAAAAAAAATACTTGCTTAAAACTTCAAAAAATAAAAATAGAAAATTATATGAAAAAAATAATATCGTTTTTTTATTTTTCAGTGCCAAAATTACAAATTTTGTGGTAAGATTTGCGAGGACTGATAAGTTTTTCTCACGCATATTATGAATAATTTTGATGTTTAAATTTTAAATAGTCTAATTCTTCTCTACACGCTATTTTAACACGCATAGAAAAGGAAACGTTCCGTTTGTTTAATAGTTACATTTCTTTTTTAAATTACGAATTCACCAATTCTATGTTATCGTGGGAATGTGATACTCGAAAGCGGAAAATTTCTGGAAGATTTTTTATTACCATCTTGCAATTTTGAGAAGATCACGCATTAGGTCTATAATTAAATGGTATGATGTTGACGATTATAGTATATAAATAGTTTTGAATTACAACAACATCGATCGACAACATCAAGGGAATTACAAAAATCGGCATGAAATAACAACTTCAATAAACAACAAATGTATATTGTTCAGTTTTGTGTTAATTGAAGACAAATACTGGCAAAATAAAAGGATTTGCCAAAAAATTACACCCATTCATTACACCCTCAGCCATATGGCTACAGAGTGTATACAGGGTGAGATAAAAAACTGCAACAAAGTCAAACGCCATAATTTTTATTTTTTTTTTATTTTTATTTTTATTGAATGAAAGCAAAAAATTTCGGAAATAGCATAAAATTTTAGAAAAGTTTAGTTTTGTTCGAATTGGTCATCTTTGGCACGAACTATGGCCAAATGATATTGGTCCATTCCTGGCGAAGCGCATGTTTGGGGTGATCGACACTTCGGTATTTTTTAGTGCCAACCTTGCTTTCCTAAATACTCCAGACACAATAGTCCAACGGATTGGTATCCGGAGATTTTGGTGGCCATTGTGCGCTGGAAATGAAGCGAGGAACCTCATTTTGTAACCATTCTTGGGTGGCTCGTGCTGAGTGCGATGTTTGAGTGCCCAAGGCTTTAATACACCCTCCAGAAAATTTTCGAGATAATATTCGACATTTATTCTGATCCCAAGATCGATTAATACGAGCGGAGAGCGACCATCGGCTGTTATGGCGGCCCCATGGCCAGCGCTTGAGTTCCGATGGCCGACCGAAGGTGCACATTTTCAGCTGACCTCTTTGGCAAGTAAACACGGTCATTTTATTTGTTTACAAACTGGACAACGAATGTTTTCTCATCGGAGAAAACCAAATTCGGCAGTTCACCACTTTCGGCCAAGCGAAGCAACTCTTTAGCTCTTTTGGGTCTATTTTCTCTCTGTTGCGATATAAGTTCTTGCACTTTTTGCAATTTCAATGGCTTTACCCTGACGCGGGTTTCGATAAAGTCGCTTCTTTATTTTCGAACCATTTCTGCTGATGTTGCTGTTTTATTCCGTCCACTTCCTTGACGTCGGACTACGCTACCAGTATCACGGTAACGAGAGATGGTACGAGACATAAAAGATGTATTCACATTTAAAAGCGGGAATGTTCTAACGATAGCCACTTGTGGTTTTCCAGCCAAATATAAAGAAATCACACTATCACGCTTGAATTCCATCACGAATAACTTTTTTTCTAGAAAATTCTCACCAAAATGCTTTTGTATTCTTGTAAACAATATAATGAGCTGTCACTGGAATAATTTTAACAGATGTCGGACGAGAGTCTTAGAAATGACAGGAGTCTGAAGTTGAATGCAGTTCTTTCATCTCACCCTATATATATTCCTGATCCGAACAAAATTATTAGACAATTTAGCGATGTCCGTCTGTCTGTCTGTTGAAATCACGTCTACTTTATTTAATCTAGAGCTTTGAAATTTGCCACAAGGGTTTATATTATACTAGAAAATGCCCGCTACTTCGGGCAGAAAAAGGAATTTATATTAATTAAATTTATGTGTCAGTTTTTATAGGAAATGTAATGTATGAAATAAAAGACATCTATTCCTTAGTTTCAATTTATAACTTTGACGATTAATTTCAATACTTTGTACTTAGTACACATTTGTCTGTCTGTTTGTTGTAATCATGCTATCTTTCGATCGAACTGAGATACAAGGCTAATTCATACATATGTATTTTGCCAGTAGGCAGGTTCAGTTCAAAAATGGGCCGTATGGGTCCACATTTTCGTACAGTCTCTATATAAAGATACCTCCCAACATAGAATATTTGAATGATTTTAGCGACATTATATACCGGAATTGTTTCAAATATCGTATTGGAAGATCTTAATGGGTAATACAACCTATGACCAAAAATTACTCATGCAGGCCCACGTCATTGTATAGCCCCCATATAACGGTACCTCCCAATATTGGGTATTTTTAAAATTTTAGAGTCATTATAGACCGGAATTGTTTCAAATTTCGTATTTAAAGTTCGTAATGTACGTTCTACAAAAAATGTGTATGCATTTCCTCGTCTTTGTAGAACCCCTTATGACGATACCTCCCTTTATTCGGTATTTTCAAATCGTTTCATATTCTTATTTGTTTATATAATTATTTAAAGAATAAACTTCTACCCATTACAATATAACTTGGGTTAATTCAAAATATCAAGACCTCCAGCGAACATTTTTAAATTAAAAATATTAAGTGCCCAGTGTGTGATTTGAGCTATCCATCTTTAGCGTAGTTACTTTGTTGTTGCAAAATAGCCGAGCTTTATGTTATTAATGTATAAAACTTAGGTTTAGTTATTATTGGAGATAAGTAGTTTTTTTTTTCTTCGTTTCTGTAGTTTATCTTCTATTGAGCTTGCGAGGAGGAGTTCTTCTTCAATTACTCCACTGAAAAACCAAGGATTGTTGGCTCTTTCCGAAACCATCATATTCCCTGCCTTAGGCCCTGTAAAAAACATTACTATTTTCCCCACTAAGAAATAAACTCTGTTTTTATAAAAATTGACTAATTCGCTTCATTTTAATCACACTTTGTAAGAAAAACAATAAACAAGCCCTTTACGATTATTATTCAGGACTTGGATGGTTAGATACTTCGTCGAACGACAAGTCCCATATAACAAAACTTATAATATTAACAAGGAAAATTTTTATTTTATGCCTTTCTATTTGTAAATATAAATATAGATTTTTTTAACCATGAACATTTTGTTTGTTTTCCAAAAGCAGCAAAACTTAAAATGTTGCCAAGCTGACAATAAAAAGACCAAATACTTTTAAGAATTCCCCTCTCCAAATGATTGACAGGAAGTTCTTTAAACAAGATATACCTACTTTTTTTTGGGCAATAATTATAGGTTTCAACACTCATCACAATCATCAGCTATCATTGTAATCATCCGTCCAACGCCCGGTCTTTTTCAACTCATTTGGTGGCCATATGCTGTCGCCGGGAGTCAGTCATCGGTGCATCTTCTAAAGAGTGTTAGCGCCATCGTTTACTTTAATGTGGAAAACAATTTTGAAATATTCGTCTGTTTGTTTGTTTGTTTTGGCAGTTTGTATCAATTTTCAACAAATTTCAGCCTTTAATAATTTTTTTGTGCCGCTTTTGTGTTTTTACGGGTGTGCGTGTGTTGATCTTGGTTTCCAAGGAAGGCAATTTTAAGAAATCATTCAGAAGCGGCTCCTGAAGCTTCCTAATGAGTGTTGGTAGGTATATATGAATACATCTTTACATTTTTACTTGGCAAAACTTTTGAGCATTTGAACATTTGGTTAGATGTCAAAGAATCAGAAGAGACTAAAAAATAGATAATTATACAGATGGAAGCTGATTAAATTATATAATATTTTAATTTTATTACAGCAAACTTGCCAGTGAGATCAAAATTAAGGGGACAACTTGCCTTACTTTTTGTAAATTCTGTTCTATAACTGCTTTGTGAATTATATAAACATTAATTCCAATAAGACCCGTATTTAAATAATTGAATCTTGAGTCCAAGGGCGTTTGTATTTATTTCACATATTAGACGGAGAGCAAAACTTGACTTGTCTTTAGAGAATGCACTCTACTTCGTATGTGGAATTTATGTGTAATTTCATACTGTGTTAAATAAAATTCAAGTCATAAATTGAAAGACTTATTTCAATATACGTGAAAAATAGTACCTTACATGTGACAAAATCATATGCATTTATATAAAATCGTACGTCTCTGTTTAATAACTTTTTTTTCTGGAATACTCTAATCAAAATGCTTTTGTACGCTTGTAAACAATATAATGAGCTGTTACTGGAATAATTTCAACAGCTGTTGGACGAGTGGCTTAGAAATGACAGCAGTCTGAAATTGCTTGCAGTTTTTTCATCTCACCCTGTACAACGACATACAATTACCAATTTTTAGACATTTTTTATTGACTTCGCAATAACGAAAAGTTTAAATGTCAAATAACAGTTCATTTGGTAGAAATTGTAAGAAAAACTTGCAAAAGCACGAATTTTTAGTGGTATAATTAAAGTTTAAAGATTAATTTAAATATTTCGCCTTTATTGTGATTGCAACGAACGGCCGCATACACAGACGGATGTATATTAATGGCTAAATCCTTTATAACACTGATAATTGAGGTTTGAAAATTATATTAAACACCATGATATAACGAGTATAAAAAGGTATTGGGGAATAGAAAATAAATCGTAATGTGGAATTTTGTTATAATTTTTTACAAATGATTTATAAGCTCGAAAATACCTGAAATCGGCCAAATTAGAGCACATTTGGTCGACGAATATTAGGAGATAATATTATATGAGGGCAAAGATCGTCCTAAGAATGATATTAGAGCCTGTGCAAAGGTTGAAAGACACATCTTAAATTTGGTGACCTCTGTTGTAATTGCAAATGGTGAACGGAGAGGCTCACGGGCATAATTTAATCGACAAAGATTTCTACTCTTTATCATACTTTATGGAGTCCCTAACTTTTATGTTATTTAGGTTTTTAACTGTCAAACTAAAACCTGAAAAGTGGGATCAGGTTATTAAAAAGTTTTTAAAAACACTATAAGTCGCCCGGTACGTGAACCTGTATTGAGAT